TGACAGAAATGATGAGACAGACAGTATGTGTATGTGAAAGTGTCTGATAGTCTATTGCTAAATAGCTCAAACATGCTGACTCTTGCAATGAATAAAATAAAATCTAATATGGAACAATGTAGGCTTAAACCTCATTTATAAACATGAATATGAAACAAGATTGTATTGTTTTTAAATTCTGATGAAGTACATGTTAGACAGACTCATGTGAATCATTCATTGAGATGTTAATAAGTGTTGTAAGATGCTTTATTTTAAGAGCTGCAGTGACGTCTGTGTAAAGAAAGCTCAAGCGATGACAATATTAACTGTGCTGTATACAGAAGGTGCACAAGGCTCCTAACATTCATTTAAGTACAAACAGCAAAGATCTCTAATATCGGGGTTGTGTTTAAGGGAATAGGTGAGCTCACAACCTGCAAACAGCCAAGTACAGATCACAGTGATAAACAGAGAGAGTTGCAGCATCAGGAATTCACATGAGGAAAGTTATGATGGATTGTGTAACAGCTAATAACTACTCTGTTAAGAAAAATCTAATGATATTCTGTTAGTAGCTACAGATGAACTCCACAGGTAATTGTTATTCTTAAGAAAGGAAATATACGACTCACAGGAACTGCAGCACATCAAGTGATTGTGTTTCAAAGCCGTAGCAAATAGCAAAGTCCACCCATGAGAATCCCAACCACTCTGTGTAAGTAGATGTTAATATTAACAGCAAAGCTTCGAAGTAAGAGCTCCCTGGCAGGGTCTGACTGAAGCCATTGTGTATAAGAACAAAGGGCTGACAATCAAGCAGTATTGTTTGTGTGACATTATAACTAACGTCTGACACGTGCACACAGGGGTGATCCTCACAGACGGGCTGTATTGTTGGCTGACTGCTGCGTGACACACCAGGCAGGCAATGGTACACTGATGACACTGACACAAGAGCGGAGGAATCACAAGCTAAACCTTGTGGAGTTTAATGAAGCTGTCCACCAGCCAGTTTTAGACATTTTTTCAGATTCACATTCAGCACAGCACCACCACTCTCTTACCCCACCTGCTCTTTGCAACAAAAAAAATACTGACACTCCTCCGAGAGACCTCTTACTGTATGAAAACTAGTCTAGAGCCAGTAAGATTCTCCTTACTAGCCTCTGCCTCCCACCACTTCTGTACTGTAAGCCAGCTACAGCGTTCAAGAGTCCTTAGGCAAAAGGAGAAAGTAACTCTCTTTTTAATCAATGAAGTGGATAGTATGGTTGACCTCTAGCCCAGTAAGCTAACTCCGTCAATTACATCATGTCTGCATCAGTGCCAAAGAGTTATTTCAATCCCAGAATAAAACTTTGTATGATGATAATTTGCCAAGCACGGTATGACAGAAGTGTTATACTGCTGAGCGTGCATCACATCTCTTCATGGCAAAACCACACATGTAAATCTGCCTGTCTCTAAGGCAGCGGGGTACTGTATGCCAAACGTGTCTGCTTTCTGTTGCCGGAACTCTTGTAATTGTGAGGCGTCATTATTAGCCCAGCCGCTATATCACAAAAAATAAAAACTAATAAAAACAACAACAACAGCAACATCAACATATTGGGTAATTATACATTGAGAGGCCAGTATAGAAAAAAAACAAAAACTTCCCACAACAACTTTACAGATTTAGATTTAAAAAATAGCAAAGGCTACAAAGGAATGGCCTAGCCTCCCGATGTAATCCTTGAATAACCGTTTTGGGGTTTCAGCTCTGACATTTTACCAGGTTCTTTGTGTTCTGGATATGTTTTATGACTCTGGAGCCCATGAGTCCCATTCAAACACTGCTGTAATATGTCACTGATAACCTGCAGAATTTAGATAGTAGCTGTATGAATGTGCTTATTCAAAAGTGCCTGAAAAATGCAAACTCATTTGACACTTCTAGTCAGAATTTCACCAACAAAAAAGTACATGAAAAGCGTGCTTTTTATTTTTCGAAAAATTACATTTATTTAATTAAAACTGTATGCGATTTATGTTTAATTAAAGTGTGGATTCCATAATTAGACTTTTGTTTCAAATATGTAAAAACCATCATCTGTATAAATAGATCTGTGTTTGTCACCTCTTAAATAATGTAGCTCAGCCTGTCAATGGCAGAGTGCTGTCAAAATAATTAGCTAATGCAAATTGGAGCTGACAACTTGAGGAAGCCACCTATGCATAAGAATTGAACCTCTGTGTTTTGCATCTAGAGTTATAACAATAGCATGACATAGCAAATGATAGAGGGATGAGTGCTAGCTCCTCTTGCAACATACCACACGTTTGTATTAGCATAGCTAATTATGCATAATTGAGTGCTTTCTACTATCCCATCTCCTGAGGCCTATGTCTAACTTCTGTTGTATTTATGCAAAGGTTATTTGGAGACAACAAAATCCAATTACACATAGTGTACAGGGTGTACATGACTCATAATTAGGATTGGATCACAGCTCCAAAAAAAATCCTGAACTATAACACGGCCAACAGACCTCTTTGACTTTAACTTGCTTAAGTTCAAAAGATGTTACATGAGACAGAATAGTACTGAAAACTCTATATAATGAAATAAAAGTATGTCCAAGTATTTCCAAATAATTTCTAAAACGTTATCTGACACGATCTGAATTCTTGTTGTGGTAAATGGAACCCGCCCAGTACTCCAGGGATGGGGAGGCCAACAAAAACTCTGTGGTCAAATACTGGACAGCTACATGACTTTCACTCCTATAAGAACTGTTAAATAAAAAACAGCTGCACAAGTGAAGTCCAAGAATGTGTCTCAGAATACAATAAAATAATCAAATTATATTAAATAAATAATTCAAACCATTTCATCAAAAATTGTGAAATGAACCGTCTTCGTGTTTCAATACCAGATATTTAGAGCAAAGGTCTGACTGAGTCAGCAGACTTACCATTCTTTACACATAAGAATTCCTCAGTTCCTCCTGAAACATATTCAAGGCTAGTTCAAATACATGAATACACTGTATAAAGATGTGTTCAATCACTAATGACAAAAAGGAAGGGGGGGGGGGTCAGAAGCCACCACTTGCTATCTGTGCTCTGTCATATCCGAAACACCTAATGAAATGAAAATAATAAAGCAGCAGTGCTGTATTACTGCTTTTAAAAGCACATCATGTAAGTGTTTAATAAAAAAAGACTGCACATTAATTATTCTAAGTGCAGTGTTTGGTCTTTTTATTTGAGCAGTCAGCTGAAAATGTATCCTTTTGAGTAGTTGATAAACTCAATACATGAAGCAGAATAACTGTAGAGATATATTTTTTTTCTTTTTGCTTCTACATATTTTACTACAGCTCCTGGTGCTGTTCTAGTGAATGTACTAACTCACTCTCTATTTTCTGAAGTGTCCTATCATGGTCTGCATTATAGCATCATTATTTGATATATTTTGAAAAAGGTCCGACTTCAGTCACTAAGGGCACAAACTTCAACATTTGCTGCGTAGTGTTACAATTCATGGATGAAACTGGTGTAAGGCGTATACGTAATGCAAAGATCCCTCACACACAGACACTGACACAGACTAACAAACAAGCTTGATCAGTAACAAAACTATCAAATTCCCATCCAGCCAAAACCCTGTTAAAAGCAAATAAGGCGGCTCTATGATCATTACGGCCTGACACTGCCAATTACCAATACAGTATCTCTATTTTGTCTGTAAAAGGCAATAGAAGGATTAACTTCAGGCCTCTCTGCTTCCCCTCTTCCCTCTCACAGAGCAGACTATGTTTACTGACTAATCTCCTTTCCTGCTTTGACCATAAATGTGATTACCACCACACAAGAGATAATAAAACCCCATATCTCTGCTGTACCAAAGAGTATGAATTAAAACCTAAGCTGTAGCCTTGAGGAATATAGAAAAGAAAGGGAGGGAAAAACACAGAAAAAGGAGTATTTGGTGCTGAGTGCATACAGCCCCCTACTGGTAAACACCACTCACTATTTAGCCAAATACAACACAACAAGCTCCATGATCTTCTGTTGAATGCCAGCAACAGGTATGCAGCCACTTTCAAAACATATTTTCTGGTCCTACTGTTGCAAAGTCAGTCTTTTACGATCTCCATTTAAGCAGCTCTATTTAAATGATTTCAAATTTGGGTGTTAATTTCATACAGAGGTCTCACATGAGAGTTGGGCTGTTATTGTTGTGGTGGTAAATGGTTTATCTATCAACTTGTAACCTATGGCTGACATCACCTCTTTGAGGAGAGGAAAACTTCTCTTTAATGGTCAAATGGTGAAAACAGGTGAAAGGTAACATGTAGGTTTACACCAGTTTTAGTGTGAAATAAGTTTGTGTGCTATTATGAATGTCAATTTTGCCCCTAAAATGTTAAATATAAAAAAACCTGAAACAAATAACCAGATGGTGGCATGTCTGATTTTTACCAATAGTTAAAGAGCAACATAATTGTTACTTTTGCACAGGTGGATCATTTCAGCTGTATTCTGGATTTTAAATCCAATGTTTGGTGTCTACTTAATGGAAGATAATGAATGAAATGCAGCTTGCTGTGATTCACCATTAAGCAATGTGGAAATTGAGTAGATCATACTGACCTTTATATAGTAAAATCATTTATATAGTTCGACTATACTGCAGTGACATGTCTGAGATTTATCTAAATACTTAGACTACAATAAGCCCGAGAAAAATACAGCACAGATTCAAATTTCAACAAATGCTTTGACAAAGTCAATCTCATGACTCATACTTTTGATAAATGCCCAGCTTGACTCTATTTTGGATTCCTAATAAAACGGGATGTTAGTAACAGCACGACTCAAAGGCTCTGAGGGTTTGAGGAAGATCATAGTTCAGGTGGCGTGTGGCGATCATCATCAAAATCGTTTAATTTTGAGGGGGGGGGGGACAAGACATGGCACGTGGTGATGGTGGGGGCGAAACGCAGTGATGATTTGTCAAATTCGCCTACCTGATATTTCCTGATGAGGTACATTGACGAGGCTGAATCCTTTAACGTTATAAGCTTGCCTAACCTCGCTACAGCTCCGCGCTTTGCTTTCACCAGCAGATGACAGGGACAGCAGCACCGACAGAGTACATAAGGCGACTTGCAGTCTCCACATCGCATACATCAGTGAAATCCTTGATAATGTTTCACAGGGAAATAACGACCTCCGTGGGGGGGGGGGAAAACTAGATATCCAAAAGGGCTGAAGTGAGAGATTTCTCCGGTGAGCAGGGTGGTAGATGTTCATTAAAACAAAAAATAAAAAATAAAAATAAAAATCACTCCTCACTTTAGATTCTGGTACGTCCGCCTCATTGCAAAAAGCTTCCTATCTTCCACCTCGAAAAAGAAAAAAGAAGAACCCGGCGAGTCCCGATTGCTTCCAGCTTAAACAAATCCGTTGGAAGAAGACAGTTGCTACCTGGTGCTCTCTGTGCCAACAACTTCTCCCGCACACACAACCAGCACCTTGTGTTCAGTGTCAGTGTGAAGAAAGGCGAAATGCAACGGAGACACACGCTGCACAGCGAGCAGAGCGCACAAGGGCAGGGCAAAACATGGAGTGGAGTGGCTGCGACTTCAGCTGCTCGAATCCAGGGGCGCGTACTGTCCTCTGCCTTTATGCATCCTTGGTAATGCGCACCGTAGCACATCAGTGGTGTAGACACATGTTGGAGGAGGCGCGGGGACCTGGAGGTAGTGTAGGCGGAATAAACCTACCTACACATCGACCAGATCATTGTCTTGTATTTTGACCGATCTGCGCTTAGTGTACAAACTGTGCATGCCTTTTGATGAAAGTAATAGAATAAAGGCTACAGATTGACCTAGAACAGCATCTTAGCAGATAAACATGTTTCACCCAGAGGCATTTTGGCGCACACACATAGATCATTTGATACTGAAAGTTGTCCTGAATCATGAGACTCATATGCGCTATTTTATCTCTACCGATTATGTGCTACTCTGCCCATTTTGAATTTCAAATAGTCTTTTTTAGTTTCATATTTTTTTTTAGGTCAGATCCCTTACAGATAGAGTGTTTAGTTGTGCTGTGTGAAATTACCTTCCTCTTAATAGCCTCTTCTTACCTATTGTTGTCTAAATTACACAGCCTTTCATTGTATTCTTATATAGAATAAAAGAAAGAAAGAAAACATAAGGCTTTCAGTAGGGCAAAGCTGTTTGTGGGTCTTATATTTATTTAAATGATTCTACCACAGTTAATTCCAGGAGCCACAAATAATGCATTACCTATAGCAGCACAGAACTGACATATAACACTATAGTATAACATCAAAGTGTTTCATTATTAAAACGTGATTCTTTTAACAACGAGTAACCTTCTTAATAACAATAATCCTTGTTATAACTAAGAAAAAAATCGAACAAAAGAATCTTGTTATAACGGGGCGGATTTCCTATTGAAAGTATAAAATTAGAATACATCTTATAATATCCCGCACAAAGACTTAGTTTGTTTTTGTGGTCTAGGGAGCTACAGCTGGCTTGTTAAAATCAACTTTAGAATGCACTGTAAACCTTCAATTAGACATTCAGGGTTGAAAATCAAATATGCAGTGTTGCCAATGCTAGACTGTGGAAATGCATGCATACATTTTAATTCCTTTAGGGCTAACACATTAGGAAAGTTTGCTCTTGTTGAGCAAGGTGAGATTCTCACCAGTACAGTGTGTGGACACAATGAAGGAAAACAAGTGAATAAAAGGGATTAAAAAAGTCCTTCGGGATGACATACAACTGTCTGGGGTTGAACTGAGGAGCGTCTGGGCCACTAGACCATCCAACTATCTCACTATAGTAGAACATGTGTTTCAGTTTGTAGTCTAGTAGTGTGGTATTTTACATCAGGTGATGCCACTTAGAAAAATCGTTAAATGCTATTGGCAAAAACTGGTGAGGAAACACATGCATGAGTACTGTACTGTACGTAACAAATAAATGCTATTCTTAATTAACACTACTTGATTAAAACAGTTTAGAGCGCACAACATAAAAACATGATTTAGGATAATAAATAAAAACAGAGCTGTATTTGCAAATGAATGGTTCAATCATTCACAGGACAGAGGTATAATATCACCTTACATAGCTATTTGGTTCAGTTGCGGTGAAGTGAACAGCAGGGAATGAACAGCCTGGGCGTCTGGCTGTCTGGGAGGGC